TAATGTGCCATTTTAATGAACAATGCCACAGATAAAGCAGCTTTTTATTATGTTTACTCTCTGTAACATAGTTTAGACTTAGATATGTGATTCTATGCATCATAATTTCAGGGATGGAAACATCTCGTCTCCTGTCCTATCATAGCATGAACGTAAAGAAGGTGGGTGGGGAGGACATGCAACCAGGAGCCAGTAGCAGAGTTGTAGTCAAGACCACCGGACCTGAGACCAAGTCTAGACCAGCACCCCGCGCTACGTGACACAAAAACATTAAGTTTTACCTTCAAAATTGCTTCATAAATTGATCTGAAAATCCACATTCCCATAAAACTGAAATAGAGCTGAAATAAATTTAATCAGTAAAGATCCGCCCAGAAGAATCAGATCATTCCTGAATGTCATATCAATGCAGACTTTGGTCACAGCGTTGTCCCATATACACTGTATGTGACACCTCAGTCAACACCTCCACACAATAATTCAGCGCATGAGTGACAACTTTCTTTCATCACAGATGCAACATGTGTCCCTGTACAGCTAGCTTTGCTAGCATCACGTCCACATAGCTTACCTTTCTTTAAGCTTTCCTTCCAAGTGACGCTAAAAGTTGGACTAAGTCCCACCGTCTGTGAAAGCGAAGCGCTGCTGGTTGTACATGTCGCCATATCTTATGATTTATGCAGCACTATTATATAACTGACGATCAGACAGACATCTTCTCCCGCTCAGAGGAAACCACTGCGCATGTGCGTGCGAGTAAAGGTGGAGGCGATGGGTGACAACAGACACTAAGTCACGTTATTGCTTGGATTTTACGGCGCCACCTTAAGACCCTGAACTTCACATTTTAACGGAAAAAAAGAGCAACGCGACTTGGATGTAACGAGTAACGCGACAGTTTTGTAGACATGTAGTGAAGTAGAAAGTACAGATACTTACTGTAAAATGTAGTGGGGTAAAAGTAGAAAATATCCATTATTAAATCTACTTAAGCAAAGTACAGATACACGAAAAATGTACTTAAGTACAGTAACAAAGTACTTGTACTTCATTACCTCCCACCACTTCATTTGACTCTGGTGTTTTGTACCTGTGGCACATCTAAAAACTGCCTAAATGTTTTTTCTTTGAAGAAATGTGTTGGAGTCATCATAACAGGCTTCAGTCATGAACATGACACACTGACAGGTTGGCATGACTTTTAATGCTGTCCAAAATGTTTCTATAAGCTGACTAATTTCTTTAGTAATTATTTCTGACTTTTTAATGCTTTATCTTGTAAACCAGGTTGGCAGAGTAATTTGAATGAATATGATGGTGACACACACAGAGGTAAGTCTGATTAGTTTTGTTCACACTTCTTTTTAAAATATTTATTTATTATCCCAATGTGTCTGCTATATTTCCTGTTTTTCCTTCCAGGCTGGAAGTCTTCCTCCTTCATGTTGGAGAAAACAAGAGCAGCCCCAAAGATACTTCACCATCAGTGATCACAAGACCATCCATGGCCGCTTCCAATGAACTTTCAAAACACACTTCACCTTTAGTGCAAAGTACCATGAATGTATGACCTTTGTTGTATATTGCTGTTGGTGCTGTTTGATGTTTTGAAATAAAAGTGATTATATACTGCAACTGGTGCTGGTGTTTTTGTGGCATCTAATATCTTTTAAAATGAATTTGGGGATTATTAATGGTCAGTAGTTTCTGAAAAAAAGGTTTTAATTGCTCTAGTGGTTTTTATTTGGTAGTAAACTGACAAAAAGAAGTGGGTAATGAGAGAAGGGGAAGACCGGGAAGTGAACCCACAAGAGCTGCATTGAAAACTAGAGCCTCCATATGTGGGTTGTGCTTAACCACAGCATACCCTGCCAGTAGTATTTCAAAACTCAGATTTCTATGTTAATATATACTTTACACCATTCTGTGTTACATTAACACGTTCATAATGTTAACTTTTGACAAAATACACTAGTGTTGAGTAAGTCAACACTGATGTGTGTTTAATTTCAACTACTGTGAGTGTTGATTCAACTTTATCACAAATGACACTTTCAAAAGTGTAACTTTTACACCATCCAGAATAGACCAATATAGGCAATTTCAAAGTTTTGAATTTAACTCTGTAGGATTTGATGGAACACTTCCAAATTTGCTGTGTGGGACTGTTGATTTTTGCGTAAAGCTGAGTTTCTTTATAAGGTTAGAGGCTACATCTGGGCTGTCACCCTCTGTGTCGACATGAATGCCAAAGTCCCCCAAAATAATGACCTTAGTATTTAACATTCAGATATGAAAAAAATCTGAGATCTGATCCAAAAATTGCCAGTAAAGACTGGTGGACAACAAAACAACAAACAAATGAGAATTTGGTGTTTCGCATAGAGGAAAAGGAAAACTAAAAGTCAGATGTTTCAAAGAACTGTTCTGTTTGGGGGAAAATGCGTCTTATGTTAGTCAAGGTGAGGGTCTGCAGGAAAACAAGACATGGCAGCAGGTTTAGTCAGTTTCTGTGTTTTATTGTAGATCAGGCTAGAAGTGGAGGCCGACCGCT